TGTATTTCCATAAGTGGGGTAAAACTATGGAATAATTTAAGTGTGGACATAAAAAATAGTAATAGAATTGATAAGTTTAAACATAAGTATAAAGGTATGTGTCAATCAAGATATATGCAAGAACAGGCTTAATGATTAAATACATGGACTATTGTGGGTGTGGTGTATATTTTGTAGCCATTCTTTAATACATCACTGGTGTGATGTAGGAATGTTAACACCGTTATATTCTTTTTTAGTATAAGTCCCTAATGTGTGTAGAAGAGAATCATTTACTGCTTGCAAACCAATGATGGTAAGATGATGTCATGGGGTAGGACTGGATAAGTCTGACTTCTTCCTACTCCATTCAAACATGTACCAGGTATAAGCACATTGATATTGGATTGTGTGTAAAAATGTGTGTTGTTATATCAACTGTGTTTTTTTTTTTGTTTTTTTATGCTTGAAAGAATAAATCAAATCAAATCAAAAACACAGAGCTTCAACACACGACACTGAGGTTCTTAGAGGATAAGTACAGTATGCTACACTTTGTTATTACTGATCCAATGAAAGCTTTGTGGCAGCAGATCATCCCAGTTTCATTGGTAATGTAGTAACACGTTAGTGCATGAAAAGGAAAGACATTTTATTTCTTTCAAGCCATCTGTCATCTTCACAACAATATTATGGCTGTTTAAAGATCACGGTGTTGACTTCGTAGGGTCCGTAGAAGCTTCTGTTATAAATACGGCTACTCAGCAGTCAGATTATTTAACTGAGACTATGAGATTTAAAGTCAATTAACATCTAAAATTCTCATTTCCCTTCACGTTAAATCCCATATTCCACACACCTGCACATGCAACAATAATGTTAGTCTGTAGGAACACTCCACATGCATCTGTGTAGTGCTGCTGGCAAACAACAGTAACACGCCAAAGGAAATGTGCACATAGCACCCACTAGTGGCATCTAGTGAATATGTTCAGTCTGACGACTGTGACCTTCCAGTTCCTTTACTCAAACAGAACCGACCTACCTGTCCGACTTTGGACAGCTTGAGTTCTCTTAAGATGTAGTCGTGTGCAGCCGTCTCTCTGACGTTGCGAACACGCATGGCACCGTATTCCTTCAGAGCCGACATGTCTGGCCAGTACTTCACACACTTGCTCTGTTGGGACACAGCAACAACATTCACTGGGTCACCGTTCCTTCAGCTCCAGCTTCTCCAATGGGATTATTTGTTAGTTTCCTTTGCTTTCCATCAGTGTAACTCAAACATATTAGATCCCGACTCGGGCTCCAGTATTATACGATTTTATAGACTGATTAGTCAGTTAATCAAGAAACCACTCAGGAAATGAATCCTTAATGAAAATAATCATTAGTGACATCAATATTCCAGTTTGATTCGGAGTCACTGTTACCAACACCTGATGTTTTACTGTCTGTGTTGTGGAGAATCCTGAACTAATGAGTGGAAACAAAAAGGACAGCCTTGATTATCTAAGTGATCTTTTAATTGACAGGATGTCAAACACTGGGACACAACGAGGGAATCTGTTTTGGAATAGTGGCGTGTCCTCCCTCCAACAGAGGGGCACTGAAGCTGCTCTGCAGACACTAACAAGGCTCTGCTGGGTGACAGCTTGTCCTCTCAGCTGTACACTGATGCAGCGTTGTACTTCAAGAATCAGACCTGTACAACAAAACTACGAGATGTCTTGACAGTGGCCTCGTTTTGCTCACCTTCCCTCTCTCCACTTCTTTGGTGGTCATGACGATGACTCGAGAGTTCTCCTGAAACACCATCCTCCAGAAGTCACTGATGGTGGTCTGCAGACAGCCCTGAGTGGCAATGTAGCTCTTCTTCACCTTGGTACTGTTACACTTTGTGTCCAGCTCCGGCTGCACAATCAACAGAGAACATGTCATCAGGTACAGAAATTACTGTCTGAGTCTCCTGAGGATGAAACGAGTTCACTGTGACAGCAGACACTACCATGATGATGTTAGCGTTGATGTAGTCAGAGCCTGGCTCATTTGGGTCCCCATCATTCAGCACTACCCGAGTGTGGTCGACTGGAAACAGAAAGAAAACTCCCTCAGCTGAGCCCTGAACTGTTAAACTGAGAGGATGTTAGAGTCAAAGAGCGGTCAATGCTTCTTACAAGGCAGAATGTTCTTGTATCTGTTCTTGTTTTTGTTCTCTGGTCTCTGGCCCTCTTTGCGACTGTAGAGAAGTTTGCACTCTTGTTGCTGCAAGGTCTGCATGAAAGCAAACAGGAGAGACTTAATGTGTCCTCCAGCCTGGACGGCCTGATATTGAGTCGCTTTCAAACAAGGAATAGGTAACATTTATGGCCTTAGCTTCTGGTTCAAATGAAGCCAGAACTTTCAATCAAGGAATAGGTAACATTTATGGCCTTAGCTTCTAGTTCAAATGAAGCCAGAACCACCCACCTCAAATTCTTCCCAGAAGCCCTGTTTGACCTTGTCTGTGGCCTCCGCCAGTTTGCTCAGCTCCCTAACTCGACTTTCAATCTCTGCTGCGTTAATGCGAGTAGTGTTCAGGGGCTGCGGAGGGGGACAGGAGTCAGGACAGACACTACAAGCAGGAAACGTTGCCTCAGCTCAACGTGGAACAGACAGCGAGTCAGTTTTACAAACATGGATATTTGGGATAACAGAGATGGGAGGTACCTGTTTGAGCTGAAGCACAGTGCCCAGAGTTTCCACCATGGGGTTCTTTTTGTAGTGTTCTACCAAGTCAGTGAGCGAGTCAAACTTCTCGCCTCCGCCCACGTCATACTTCAGGTCATGCTACGCAGGAAGCAGCAGAGGAACAGACAAAAGAACAGTTTCATAAGAACATATATAACACAAACCACTTAGTTTATGTGCACACAAGAAACTAGGTGACTTAGAGAAACCAGGCTGTGGAGGAGATCAGTCAACACGTCTACATGAACACAGTCCATCGCTCTATAACAATACTATGATTCAGAGCCCGTTTGATTAGATTCAGCTAAACTTTTGTGAGGGTGTGTGAGAAAGTGTTACTAAAACAAAGCCAGATCTTCCTCTCGCTTCATTTCAAGTAGTGAATCGTGTCCATTTCACACAGAACGTTGGTTCACTGTGTGGTTCTAACTCAGGAAGGTTCAGTTTTAGTCGGACTGGCTGGAACAACTTTGAATTCAAGGACACATCTCTGTGTGTTACGATCTCTTTCAGTTGTGCTGTCAGTACATGGGGCCCTGTGGCTCAGGAGTAGAGTGGGTCGTCTCCTAACAGGGTCGATTCCTGAAACTCCAGTTGCTCCTGGTGATGTCACCGGTGTGTAAGTGCAAAAGGGCAAATGGTGTAAAAGCACTTTGAGTGCAGTGAAAAGCACTTCACAAGTATAAGACCATTGACTCTGCCTGGCTGAAGACTGCCACACACATGTATAAAAGCTGACTAGAAGCCCAGTTTTAGGCACGTCAGAGGTTTAGATGTTCATCCATGGAGCCTGACACTGAGCCCTAAGCTTCACCAGTGTCATGAAGAACCATGTTCAGAAAGCAGAGGAGCCAGGACAGAACATCGTTCACCATGACAAACATGGTGGATTAGTTTTTGAATCAGTCTTCTCTTCCTGTCTATAGCTCGTCATGTGATGCAACGTGTTTCTACTACTGGTGAACAGCTTAGAGAAGAAAAGGCAGCGCTTGGTTTGATGCATCTCCCTGATAAAGCAAACAAGGCAGAATCCTTGTCATGCAAGGCCGACATCACACAGGGATTTGAATCACTCTCACACAGTGACTTGTCGTGCAGCCCTGACGTTAACCAACAAATAAAACTATTTCCAAACTCATTAGAAAACTTTACTTTTACTGCCAAAGCTTTTTCACAGTACCGAGAAAAGAGAGCAACAAAAAGGCAACAGAGCATACCCTCCTGACTAGTAGAGCAAAGACTAATAAAACATCTGGATTCTTGTTGGGATACCACAGCTCACCTTTACATCCGTGTCAGTATCACACCATCACAGAAGGCGTTGACACCTCAAATTGGCTGAGTAGTTTTACCAACTGTACGCATTACACAGGTAATCTGAAACACTCTGGAACAGAAAGGATGTTGGACAGCGAGGAGCCGAGGGGTGTGTTTACCTGGCAGCGGATCATGACATGAGTGACTTTGGGTTTGCTGTCACTGCTGTCCGTCTTGTCATCTCCTGTACGGACCGACAGAACAAAATCTCCAGGATGGCTCTGGCTCTCTCTCACCAGGAAGCTGCCGTTCTTCCCCTTCTCTGTCAGCAGCTTCTCAGCCTCCCGGCCCGACAAGTGTCCGTGGAACCATCTGGAGTTAGATACAGCCACAAAGCAGCAGTACAGTTTGGTTTTGGACTGGACTCAACTGGCTCAAGAACACTTCACATTATCTGCTTCCACTGGCGACTTTGTTTACAAAGCACAGATGTTTATTGTTTACAGGCATTAACAATCAATAGTGCACATGACCTCCAAATCTGACATTTTGTTTATTGTGTGACATTACTGTAAAGGTTTTCTCACTTTTGTACAACATTATGCTTAAATAATGCAGCTAGTAATTTTGTATGTATTTGTATTTCCCACAAATCCCATCCATGGTCACGAGTCCAGAGCCTGGTTTAGCTTATTGATCCGTGTCTAGACCTCCTCTGAGCCCCCCAGTGAGGAACACCGCTGCACTGGGTGACAGGTTTCTTCCTCAGGAAACATGTGGTGCCGTCTGCTTTCAACAAACGGCACCACAGGCTGAGAACGGTCGCCACTTTGCACACTGTGCTCTGGTTACACTATTCCACTAGATTCTCACACTGCACGTGTTGTTTTGGAGCATTGATGTGCACGTGCAGATGTAAATGAGGTCAAACAGATCCCAACGAACACCATCTCACTATCAAGGCAGTTTTTGATGAGAGTTTCAATAAACCCCTCACTCATATACCATGTGGCCTTTACTATGTGATGCAACACCACGTTTCCCTTGAAGGCGAAACACCCCGATTTAAAATATGGTAGCTTTAACTGGCACTTATTTTTTATTTAGCCAAGTATCTGGAGCTGAAATTGCACATGTTGTATTAGGAGAACAGATCCTGTGCATGAATGTAATGGGAGAGCAGTTTACCACAGGGTGAATAACGAAAGTCGTGGATGTAACTATGGTTCTGTGAGTTCCTGGATGGCTGCCAGTCATGACAGTCACTGAGCTTAGGGGCGAGAAGACTCAGAGAGGCCAGGGGTAGACTACCCTATGGTACTTATAGAGGGGATGCACACGTAGCCTACACTGTCACACATGTGACTTTGTTGATATTAGGTCTCAAACTGCGCAGCACAAGTAGACATGTTCATTTTGTTTACTGCCACTGACAGTCGCCACTACATGGTCAGTTCCTCTTTCTCAGCGTGGAAGTGCACGTCTGGTTTGTGATATCAGCTTGGGGAACCTGACAGTGTGCCTTGAGCTACTCTTTTTGGCTGAGAGCAACTTCTGCTCAGCCAAAAAACTAAGGAGACCATCTTGTAATAGAATTGCACAATTTGAAGCCCACAACATTTTAAACAGCTGAGAAAATACACGAATTTGAACATTCATCTTTTCATGAAAACTGAGCAACCCCATGTGCTGATGAAGGTCATATGACAGTTGAAAGCTCCAAACCAGCCTCTGAATGGATGCTGTTTTTGTCAGTTACAACACTGGGGTGTCATTCCTTCATTCCTTCATTCTCATTCTCGATAAGAACAGGACATGTAACTAAAGACATCTCAACAGGTGCCACATTTACATTCAAGCTCAGAAATGTCAGCGCTCACCTCTCGGACGTGGGGTCAGCACAGTTGAGTGGATACTTGAGCTCAATCACATCCCCATTCTTCTCTTTCAGTTGCCCATGATGCTCCATGTAATACTGCACCAGCTCTGCCAGAGTGGCAAACTTCTCCCCACCATAAAGGTCATAGTAGTCTCCTGTGTTTTGGATCTTAATGTGGGTGACCGCTCCATTTCGCCTGCAGGAAAAACACAATCAGTTAAAGAAATGTTAGAGACACAGGCTCCCCCAGCTCTCACTGATCAATAAGAATCAAACCACCTCTGTAAACTATCTTTCAATCTCATGACGTGTGGCAGAATCATAACTGGTCCATCATGAGACACATCTCAGCAGGGCTGGTCTGACAGAAGACATGGTCACTGTGTAGGATCAGCTGACTAAGCGAGTACTTGAATCAACAGAAAGATTATTGGTAACTATTTTTATCGTACATTCAAACACTGCTTCTTCATTGTGAGGATATGTGACAGAACTGAATCAGAGCTGCAACTGTTAGTCGACCAGCAGACAATTCACTGATCAACTGCCCCCCCCGCTGCTGTGAGCACTGACAGTTTATAGACTGTATAATAATTGATTAACTGAGGAATTAAACTGTGGATTAACAGAGATCAGAGCCCTAAACTGAAAACCTTCGGACTATTCGCACAAAACACACAACTCGACGACATCAGCTTGGGCTTTAAGAAAGTGTGACAGATGCTTTAACATGTTATAAAGCAAACAATTATCCAAATAATTAACCGAACAATGAATGAAACTAATGATCATTATGCATGTTTTGTAGCCTCCAGCTCTACTGATACAGAAGGCATGAACTAGGATTAAAAATAACACACCACCACTACATCTCTGTTATTTGCATGAGGCCAAAGACAAAGCTAGAAACAGTCAAAGGCTGAGACTCAGCGGTTTCAAATGTTTCAAGTTCACACCCGGTTTGTGACACAAAGCAGATGCACAACAGAAATGTGTTGAGTCACTGCTGAGCCTCGGGACACAGAAAAGGAGAACTTGTGGCAGCTTTGAGGCTCAGTAGCATGTAGCCTTGGAGGACTTCTGGTTACGTCTGGCAGCGTGTGCACATACAGAGACAGGCATGCTGGTTTGAACCAGCGGAGACTAGTCTCCCTGTGGAAATGTCTGTTTCCACAAGAGGAGCACGACTTGTTTCGTTTCCATAGAAAGTAAACATGGAGTAGAAGAGACTTTGCAGCTAAAATATGAGGCTACTTCAGCTAATCTGAGCTGAAGATACTTCATCTTTCAACCTTATGGCTCGACAGACATGACATAAAACCACAAAGTGCTTTTATTAGTAAAGCATTGGTGCTCCTTCTTTGGTAATGCTGGCCTCTCACTATCATTCAACACAGTTCCTGTTTAAGACAGAGCACAGTTCAACTCTTTTATAATTACTCTGGCTCCGTTTAATAGTGTGAATATCACAGCACACTTAAAGCTGCAATAACTGTTTTTTCAGCTTCAGCAGAACAAGCAGAAACACATCATGTCATTTTATGAAGTTATGAACGATGGAGCAAACAACTGCTTGGTTACACATCCAGCAGACACACACAGCAACACGATCTTTCATTTGGAGTCGTGTTTGTGTCCAGCTGGTGGAGCCAAGTCCAATATTTACTCTGCTTTTAGCTCTGCTCCCATCTCCACCAACTCCTCGGTGTAATATCCGGCTTTTAAGCTGCAAACATTCACCATCTGGTCACTAACTTTGCCAGTTAGTCGTCTGGTGCTGGACAGGTAGCATTCAGTGAGTTTACTGAAACAGAAGCACTGCTGCTAGAAACAAGGTGATGAGAGCAGAGCTGCAGGTCAGACAAACCAAACACTGTGCAAAAACAACCCCTGATTTGATCGATGTCATTATAAGAAACTGATTAGTGCAGTTTCAAAGCACTGACTTTAACGGTTGGTGCACACTGCTGATCACTGTCACTTAAGGTTTTACTTTGTCCGAGCCCTCAGGTCCGTCGTATCACGACATATCAGCCAGTGCAAAACTTCATTTTAAAAAGATTATTTTCACACTGGTTGTAAAACAATCATGAAACACCAGCAGGTACGTCTGGAGGTTCTTTTACTGTGACTCCTACATTCGGTAGTAGAGAGCAGCAGAGAGGTTACTGGGAGCATCGTGTCCTGCGGTAGAAGCCGCGCCGTGCAGTCTCTTACCGTACTGACAGAGTGAAGTCTCCTGGGTTGCTCTTACTGGGTCTGGCTAAGAAGCTCCCGTCCACTCCACGAGTCAGCAGGAGGTTCTCGGCCTCCACACCTGTGATGTTAGGGTGAAACCACCTGAGAGAGGACAACAACAATCAGCCTGAGAGTCAGGTATTGGCCTGAACAAGACTACAACACTACTTTTCTCTACAAGTCCCTCAGTGCAGTGTAACTACACCATAACTACATGTTTCTAATTTCGACAATCTCACAGCAAAGGAAAACAGAGAACACACACACATTTGAGCAAAGAACAAAAGCCAAAATAAACTCACATAAAACAATCAGGTACAGTCTAACATAAAACCTGGTGTACACATAGGACAACTGTAAGGCTATTTATATGTACAATGACGACAATTTACAAGTGTTTTTTTTTATTTTTAAAGCCACCGTGGAGGATGTGTGACCACCCTTTCAGATTAAATCCTAATGCAAGGACCACAAGACATCTAAAATGACCAGACACTGAAACAGTAGTAGGGGTGAAGGAACACGAGTATGGGACTTCCTGTAAGCTCAGTAAAGGTGAAGGCACATGCCATGTGGCTGCACGCCATATCGTCATCTCTCTAAACTGTCAGATAAAAAGGCAAATTGGGAAAACAATAAAGGGACATGAGAGTAAAGCAGTGCATCTGTCTCTCTCTCTCTCTAACCCTCCATTGTTTCTAATATGAGGGTAACTGGTGCTGGACCATCAACCATAGTGGGAACTCTCTCCCTCTCTTTTCCCCAGGACTGTCTTGTCTGTTTGGTCCATGCTTCAACCAGACATGTGCAACCCAAGTCTTAATTCTCCAGTATTCTGATATCATTTTGCTGTCTGCAATTAACTGCATCGCCCACTCTTGGCGTATTATATCTTTTGCATGCTTGTGAATGTTATCCTGACGTTGTGTTCATGAACAGCTCTGTGCAAATGTTTTAGATTCTCATTCATCACTGAGTAGCATGAGGGAGACAAAGGACCGGCCCTGAATTCATTGTGCAGCACACCAACAAGCCCAAACATCGAGCCAGAGTCATAAAGAACAAGAAGTCCTGCAGCAGGTGTTCTGGTCCAAACAGAGCCCTTGATTTTAGCACCAAAAACCTTTGCACAGTACTGTAAAAGTAGCCTGTCCTCTTCCACATCTTTGTGACACAGATCCCCAGAGCTCCGAATCCCCCTGTGTATGAATGTGCTGTACAATAAACTTGCTTTGCCTTACAGTTAATACATGACACTGTTTACGTGTCTCTCCCCTCCAAAGGGAGTTTCTTCTGTCCCACATCAAGTGTCTGTGGACAGATGGTGTTGTATATTTCTCTGGGATGTAAAAATTGATTGGACGTGCGGCTGTTAGACAGCAGCTCAAAACACAAACAATGCGATTTTTATGCTAACGATAGCTGTATTAGGTTTCCAGCTGCCAGAAATCTGAGAACAGCGATCTTAAACTTTTCCCAGTTGCTAACTAGGGTCTAGCAACACAAATTCACTGGGACATACTGGTTTTGATAGCAGTGTTAAAACGATAACGGTGAATACTAACTAAACCTCGTCAGACTGGACTCCTACTTGCCGGTGTATGCTAAAAGAAGCGCTCCTTAGCTAACAAACGTTATCCCAGCACAGTCAGCTGCTTTCCGGAAACGTCGGCACACTCTGCGCGTGTTTACGTGCACATAAACATCCAAACCGCCGAGTTTCGTTAAAGTTAGCTAGCCCAGCTAACATTATCAGTAGACTTTGTTTTCCAGACAGCCCACACTTACCTCCGAGATGTCATTTTTTCGTTCCTCACTTCCTCGCTGGCAGTTAGCAGTAGCTTCGACTAGCTAGCTAACGTCTCCAAGCGTTTCTGCTTCAGTCACTGAGCAAAGTGCTTCATCGGCTCACACCCGGTCAAAACGGGCACCGAACTCCGGGCATCGACAGTAAACGTTAAGAACGTGCGTTACAAAAACTCTCTAGGCCTCGACCCCGCAGACTTCACAGCAAGTCGATTATCGGACGTCACCAAACATGCGACAAAATAGAGGATGTTTGCATCCTAAACCGCTGTTCTTCCCTGGCTTCGCCCCCTTCATTGGAGGCATGGAACTCGGCTCGTCCGGCAAACCCCGTGACATAAATTAAAGCGTCACATCACTTTCACCTCGCGCATGCTCAATAAAAGTTCGTTGTGTGGTTACAGCTACACAAGCGGTATAAAAGGTGCGGTGGGTCGCCAGATGTCGCCGGGGTTAAAATAAGTACTAGCGTCAAACCTGCCGAACTTTGCGAAGGCCACTGCACATTTTAAAGGATCATACAGTCATATATGATCAGGAAATAACTCAGGAACAAGACATATTTGCTGAATTGAAATGAAACAGACATTTTAAAACAATGTTTGAGTTAGGTTATTTACTATTGTCTTTGTGTAGTTCAACCACTGAGTTTTGTTTCTATTGTTTTATACCCTGTCACTGAGACCCTCCTCCCATAGACCCCCACTGGTGCATGTGTAAAAGTAATGCTATTATTTTAAAATTCTATCAAATTTAATGTGTTAACTCTTAACTTTGCAACAATGACGGTTAGCACGTTTGATGACAATAAACATAAATGATCACAAAGAAAGAAATGTTATATCTATATGGACTGTATAGTAAAACATCATTCACAGATAAATGCACTGATAATACTTATGTTCATCACCAGTTACATTACTTACGTTGATGAATATTCTGGGATTTTGTCGTATTTGTGTGTGTGTGTGCCTTCCTAGTCGTTATTTGTCTCTTCGTTTGTGTTTCTGTGATTGTTTTGTGTCTCTGTAGTTTTGAATCTCTTTGTAGTTGTTTTGAGTGTCTTTGTGGTTGATTTACCTGTCTTTGGTATCGTTTTGCATCTATTTGCGTTATTGGTCGGTCAATTCACTTTCCAGCCAAAGTACCTCACTCAGAGGCTTCATCTCGACAGCCTTTGGGTTACGCGCTCTCCTAGGTTTGTCCCTCTCCGGTTGCCGTTTTAGCCCGTACGTGGCAGTCAGAGAACAGTACTCAGCACTTGAGGCTGGAGCGGCTTCTGTCCCGTAACGATTCTGCATTCTAACTGACATCCTGCACTCCTGCAGGATATACTGAAGCAAGGAGTCTCTCCATACCACCAGACTCGCAGTGATACTCGCTAGACAGCCTTTGAATCATGTTTACCGTATCGGAGCTGGTTGTCTTGCTGGCCGTCATGACTGCCACTGCGTCGGGCTACTTCGTTAGCATAGACGCCCATGCCGAGGAATGCTTCTACGAGCTGGTCAACTCCGGCACCAAGATGGGCCTCATGTTTGAGGTGGCCGAAGGAGGCTTTTTGGACATCGATGTTGAGGTGAAATACGTCAGTGAGATAATACACCAGCCGCCTTACACGGAGTAATAAGTGGTTTTGGAAAGCTGTGACAAGGCCTTTGCTAATGTTAACCTAGCTGCTAGCTGGCTGCGAAACGTCGGGTGAAACGTTTGACATGCTGCGGTTCCGGGTTTAGGTATTTTAGCTGCCAAGTGTCTTAATGTCTGGATTAAGAGACTACAGGGACATAATGTGTGCTATGAAGTGTGTGACGCTGATTAATGAATACTCTCAATAAAAGAAGTGCAGAGTTAGCCTTGGTACGGCTAAGCAGCTAACTATGACACCAATAAGATCTTGGAACCTTTAATACATTGTAAAAATATAGATTGCTACATCTCTTATGTCTTGTTTTCATTATAAGTGTTGCTGTGGTTTAAAGTACAATTAGGTGTTTGGTGTAGAAAGACGTTGCTGCCATATGCTGCCACCAGTTCCTTCATGGTATTAATGGTGTTCTTCTCGCTCGCCTCCCGTCCAGATAACAGGACCCGATGGAAAGCAGATTTATAAAGGTGACAGGGAGTCCAGTGGGAAATACTCGGTGGCAGCTCACATGGACGGCACCTACAAGTTCTGCTTCAGCAACAAGATGTCAACCATGACACCCAAAATCGTCATGTTCACAATTGATATTGGGGAGGCACCTAAAGGCCAAGATATGGAGACAGAAGGTATAGTGGCTGTTAATATCTGTGTACAAGAGAGAGAGAGAGTTAACATTTCATACCGTTAAGCCTTTTTCTACATGGTTCATGCAGATTGCAAACCAGTATTTAGTCTTGTTTCATGGCTTGTATTTTCCTCTTTTCTGACTCTTTGGGCACTTTTTTCCTGTTTGTAGGTGGAGAGAGCTGGGATGGTAGGGTGCAGGGCAGGCTGTGACGTTTGAGTTTCTAATGCACTGCAGAGTTTTCTCTAACCAGTGTTTCTGTAGTATAAACTAATATTACAGTACTGCTATACATAGACAAGCTGTGATGTTTGTGATTGGTTTCAATATTTGCACAGTGGAGACGTGTATTAACTGTCGGTGTCTTTGGGGTGACAATGTTATGCATGTATCTCATACCCTAGGCATGTTTTTGTGTGTAATAATGTTGAGACTTGCTCCTGCCTGGTCAAATGTTCCTGTTTCAGCCCACCAGAACAAGCTGGAGGAAATGATCAACGAGCTGGCGGTTGCAATGACGGCCGTGAAGCATGAGCAGGAGTACATGGAGGTCCGTGAGAGGATACACAGAGCAAGTGGGTCCCGGTCCAGTATGAGCATGAAAGAAAAGACGGTTTTTCAGGTTAAGAGTGTAACTTCACAAATGTTTTTTCTCTCCCTCTAGTCAATGACAACACAAACAGCAGAGTGGTGCTGTGGTCGTTCTTCGAAGCCCTGGTTCTGGTGGCGATGACACTTGGACAAATTTACTACTTGAAGAGATTTTTTGAAGTACGGCGAGTGGTGTAGCGCAATTAAACGATCCCTCTGTCCTCCACTGTTTTCTCCAACACCAAGACAGTTACACTCTGGAAATGAGACTGGCAGTTTTGCGAAACGCCCACATATGATTGGACCTCAAATGTTTTGTTCTCCTGTTACCTATATTCTCCCTTCTTTATAAATGTAATTAGTCTATGTTTGAAACAAATGGCCAACAGATTCTGGGATAGATGTTAATTTCATTAGGTTTTTTTTGTTAACTTTTTTGTCCAATATTGTTTGATAATTACAGTTAAGTACCAATTAAATGCCAGTACAGTTTTGCCTGTATGAATGACTGCAAGGCTCATTTAAGTAAAGGTGATAAAAAAAACAGACTTACTGTAGAAATGTGTGTCAGTGGATAGGTGTGTGAGGAGTCACCACAGGAGAATATAGCTCTCATTAAGATTGGACTGGAACCCATTTCAAATGATCTGACTGCAGTAGCTCATTGTCTGAGATGCAGGGGACTTTGTTTCTCATGTCTAAGCCAAGTCAGACAAAGCACTGTCGAATATATGATATCTGAACGTTGTGTTAATGCTCTCTAACACCAAATTGCACTCCTGATGGATATGTCTAAATATCTTAAGGATTTACATTGCAGCTGGTCTTTAAAGGAAACTACAGCTTCTAGCTCTATCGGTTCATAGCGATCCAGGCTGCGGGGGGTTCAGTGGACAGCTTGACTCCCTGGTTAGTTCAGAACTTTATTCAACAGGCAAGAGCTTTTTTTTTGGCCCAAGAGTTCACATGTTGATTTAATTTTCAGACTCTCTAAAAGCAGCAACACCCGAAAGAGCTGGTTGGAATTTATTGGAAGTACTTGGGGTGCAACTCCGAAACAAAGTGTAGAGGAATTCTGAGATACGTGTTACGTGCTGATTAAGGGTGGGTGGGAGGGGGGTCTGATGCCTGATGACTGCCGTGTGCTTTATTTGTTTCTGCTACAGTTATTTTGTTGGGGTTGGGGATTTTAAATTATACAGTTGTATACAAATTTTGAACTATGTTTTTTGTGGAGCACATCCAGTGACACACAACTGATTGGATGATGCTTTTCAAAAGAATTTCTTAACATTTTCTTTGGCCACACAAAGAAGTGGCTTTACATATAGTGCACAGCTACAGCGTCAGCACTGTTGCATGTTACTGAATATGCTCCAGTTTTGTATTTGAAACTATTCGGTGAGCTCTGGCAGGCAAACTGCTCTGTGCACAGTTGCTCCTTTTTGTGATTACAACAAAATCTGACAAATAAATCTGTACAAATGTAGAATGGCTGTGTGTGGAAAATGCCCCAGGTTTCATAATAAAGCCAATATTCTCTACAACGATTTGGACGTCTTTGTAAAAAGGAGGCAACAGTGTCTTACCATTTTCTTATTCAGTGGTTTCAAAACTGAGTGGAAAAGAGGCTGTATGCTGTACATATGCATATATGAAGATTTCTTCCCTGGTGGCCTGATGATCAACCCAAAGATCCAGGAAGTCAGACATTAAAATTAGATTAAAAACAATGCAAACAATTTGAACAGCCAACTGTCGTCAGTTTCTGCAGACATGTTCGTGTACCAGAAACAAATTTGCTGTGTGCGTAACATGCTTTGCCAAATAAAGTGATTATTATTATAAAGCAGCAATCCAGTAATTTAATATATATGTAGTAAATCTGCTGAGTGAATATTTTCAATTATGTTGATAAAGTAGTTACCCGTGGTGGAAGAGGTACTCAGATTTTAAGTAAAAAAATAGTGATATCACAATATAAAAATACTCAAATTACAAGTTCTGCATTCAAATTTTTACTGCAGTTAATATTTTTGAAAATGAATAAATAATTTACATCAACATTTGATTTGATTTATTTATTCCTTCACGTTAATGTTGCAGCAGATCAGTTGATATACTGCTGGGTAGCAACCAAAACCTACTGTATCTTAAATAATAATACACAATAATGTTGCATATCATATCATTCTGTCCTTGATTATAGTTTGCATTTTCAGACTAATCAAATAGATATCAAATAAATGTAGTGGAATGGAAAGTACAGCATTTGCACCTGAACTGTAACAGAACAGAATTATTAAGTAATAGCAGTATAAATTCCCTAAAAGCTGTACTTAATACCTGAGTAACTGAACTGCCTCATTATTTTCCACAGCTGGAACTTAAACATATAATGGAGTATTGTTACGCCATGGTATTGCTAGTTTTACTCAAATAAATGATCCAAACAACGTTTTGCAAAACTGCTGTATTTATTGCAATAAAAGATAAACCAAAAGTAAACACAAACAGCATCAAGTAGTAAAAAAAAGAAAACAATACCTGGGTACGTGGAACCATAGTGGTGACAGCGCTTCAGTTCCCACCCGGCTGGTAAACATCAGCGCGCTCTGAAAAGGGAGCAGCGTGGAGCATTAGCGGAGTGGTGGCTAACAGGTTTAGCCTGAAACTATACTTAAAGGTTTGGTCCCATTATGGCTAACACGACAGAAGGGACATGGGACCGCGCTCTGAAAAGGGAGCAGCGTGGAGCATTAGCGGAGTGGTGGCTAACAGGTTTAGCTTGAAACTATACTGAAAGGTTTGCTCCCAGTATGGATAACACGACAGAAGGGACATGGGATAGTTTACCAGTTAAACTCAGCGACAGAATTTTACAAACGCTCGGTGAACTGAAATTCACACACATGACACCTGTACAGGTAACTTCTTCTACTTCTTCTTCTTCTTCAGCAGCAGCAGGCAGTCAATCCTAATTGTAATGTAACGCTGTTTACCATGATTTGTCTCTCTAGTCAGCCTGTATCCCGCTGTTCATGAGTAACAAAGATGTGGCTGCTGAGGCGGTAAGTAACTATTTAACTAGCAGTAGTGGCGGAAAGTAACGAAGTACGCACTCAAATACGGTAGTTAAGTAGAATTTCCAGGCACTTCCGCTAACTTAGACTCCTCCAATGGAGCTGAACAACAGATATTATACTGTAATAACAGAAAATATAACTAACAAATATACAATGTTTTGTTTTTATAAGTGGAAACTAAGATATCGAAAAGTATGTTTAATTGAAACGAGAGAAGAGAGTCGGCATATATATCATTAATGAAAACAATCCTTTGGTGAATCTCTAATGTGGACAGTTAACACATTGTACATTATTCTGAAATGAGGCCAGTCTGTAAAAATAAATACTTTGATTTTTGGTATTTAAGAATATTTTGCTGCTTATTCTTCAGCCAGCCTGAAGGTATTTCTTATCAATGTCCGACTGATCAGTAAATGCTCATGTTAATGTAAATAAGAAGCCATTAGCTTAGAGCTCATAAACATAATTATTAAGGACAACTTGTTGGGAAGTATTTTGTGGGCAGCTCTCTACCTGTCATCCTGCTTCAGGTGACTGGGAGTGGAAAGACGCTCGCTTTTGTGATTCCTATTATTGAGCTGCTCCTGAAGAGAGAAGAAAAGCTGAAGAAGATGCAGGTAAAGGCCAAAGGCAACATGGCTCATGATTCCATATCTTCTGGATGCTGAGTCAAAAAGTGACTCATTCAGCGTTCAGAGCTATAAATGCTGTAACAGATACAAAGCCAGACTAGCGGGCGTCTCAGCCAGGACACTGGGTTGACCTGTAGATGTATTTTGCACAGGTTGGTGCCATGGTGATCACTCCCACAAGAGAACTGGCCCTTCAGATCAGCGAAGTGATGGAGCACTTCCTCCAGAAGTTTCCACAGTTTACGTAAGTACAACGTCACAGCAGAATGCGGATCACTGTGAAACACATTGTTCAGTTAATTACACATGACTAAGAAAAGCTGCTTGAAAAATGATTTCAGATGTTTATTTGATCATCAGAATATTTTCCCATTCGTTTTGTCTTGATCAACTATTACAACATTCTCAAAACCGTCTGTATTCCAGGCAGATTTTACTGATCGGTGGCAGTAACCCGATAGAGGATGTGGAGAAGTTCAAGGATCAAGGGTATGTGATGGTCTCAGTGCACATCCCAGATAAAACCAGGCTGTTTTCTGTGACAGTATACAGTAGGCAGATTACTCTTAGAGCTTTAGGCAGTAGGTGCATTTTACCACTGTGGGAGAGAGTCAGGCTAGCTGTCGACCTGTTTCTAGTCTTTATGCTAAGATAACCAGATTGAAGAGACGTCAGAGTGATGTCACTCTTCTCCTAACTCTTGACACGAAAATGAATAAGCATTTCCAGAAATGTTGAACTATCCCTTTAAAAGTATTTTGGAGGATTTTATTTGGCTATATAAGACAGCGTACAAAGAAGAGCTGACAGGAAATGAGGGGAAAACTTGCACCAAGAACCCCGATCAGACTCAAACTGGGGACGCTGTGATTGCATGGCTGGAGTCTCAAACCCGTAGGCCACCAGGACGCCCCATAGTGTGATCAGTAAGAAAGGAACAAGCCTCTTTAGAGGACATGCATCCATGTGTCTGCATTTCAGGGCAAACATCGTGATCGCGACACCCGGCCGTCTGGAGGACTTGTTCAGGAGGAAGTCAGAGGGTCTGGACTTGGCCAATTCAGTCAGGAGTCTCGACGTGCTGGTTCTCGATGAGGCTGACAGGCTGCTCGACATGGGCTTTGAGGCCAGGTACAGCTAAAGTGAACTTTTTCTTTGTTGTTAGGGGAGAAGAAATGGCTCAGTGTGTCCTGTAATACTTCTTCATATACAGTTGTGTGTTTTTTGTCCAGGTATTGTCCTGTTGCCACTAAGAGTCTGTGTTTGTGTGTCCAGTCTGAACACCATCTTGAGCTACCTGCCTAAACAGAGGCGCACAGGCTTGTTCTCTGCCACTCAGACCCAGGAGCTGGAGAAGCTGGTGAGGGCCGGCCTCAGGAACCCAGTACGCATCACAGTCAAAGAGAAGGGTGTGGCTGCCACCGCAGCCCAGAAAACCCCATCTAGGCTGTCCAACTACTACACTGTGAGTTACACGGAGAGCTCAGTCTGGGGCTTGTTTCACATACATCAGCCCAAAACTAAAATGCAATGTCACAAAAATTCACAATTGATTTCAGATATGTAGATCTGAGGACAAGTTCAACAACCTTGTGGCGTTTCTCAGGCAACACAAGCACGAGAAGCATCTGGTCTTCTTTAGGTATGTTAATCTGGGCAGACACTGCATGTTGTCAGTAGTCCTGTGGTCACTCTGCACGTTTTAATCTGCCTTTCTACACAACTGATTGGAAACATTAAACCCCCAGCTGGCTTTGTTCAAAAAGACAAGTGCGTCAGAGCTTCAGTATAAAGTGATTGTGAATATTTCTTGTTTGAAAAAATCACAGAGCCCAGTTAAGACTACAATTAGATGCAATACAACCACAAATAGAATCAAGACGACCACACACAGTTACAAAATAACAGAGAGAAAACCAAAACAACTACCATAAAGAGACAAAGCAACTATAAAGACACTAAATGACTGACGGTCCTATATGGAAGGGGTGGGGCACCAGTTGTATTAGTCTGGTTCAGGTCTGTGGTTACTGTCATGACCTGTTGTCTCGTCATCAGTACTTGCGCCTGCGTGGAGTACTACGGTCGAGCACTGGAGACGCTGGTCAAGAAGGTCACCGTCCGATGCATTCACGGCAAAATGAAGCATAAACGCAACAAGATCTTTGCCGACTTTCGGACCCTGAAAAGGTGAACGTTAGTTTGCATGTAATCTGCTCGTGAATAATTGGCACTATGTGACTTGTCTGTGAATTTCTATCGCAGTGGGATCTTGGTGTGTACAGATGTCATGGCCAGAGGCATCGATATCCCTGCTGTTAACTGGGTGCTGCAGTATGATCCCCCCAGCAGTGCCAGGTACCTGAAGGGCCTAATTTGAGATGCTGGATTACTTATAATCATCACAAAGACTCTAGTTTGCTAAAAAAAAAAAAAAGCTGCTCGCTGTAGACTGTAGCGGAAGCTGGTTGAACAGAAGTAAACAGTGCATCTGTTGGGGACTATTTTCAGTGGTGGATAAATCCACATTTGGCCTTTAGTATTTGCAGCAACAGGACATGAGAGTAAACTATACGTAACATATCAGGCTTTCATCAGCACACAGGAGACGGTCAGCACTGGTTTGGCGATTCTCAGAACCCCTTTACGTAGCCTCTGGGTAGCGGTTCATTGTTATTTTCCATGAATAAAGCTAATTGATTTTATATTGTCTTAGTGCTTTGTGTGGATCTGCACTTGCTTACATGTAATACGATATGTGCTAGGTGGTGCTAATCCTTCATTTTAAGAATGACTAATAAAAGATGTTAAAGACTTTTACAAATGTACTTCTTTGTTTTGCTCAGCTGTACTGTTTGTCTTTGTCTCAGCGCGTTTGTGCACCGCTGTGGGCGGACAGCACGTATCGGTAATGAAGGCAACGCCCTGGTCTTTCTGCTGCCAATGGAGGAATCTTACGTCAGCTTCCTGTCCATCAACCAGAAAGTTGGTGATTTTCTGATTGTTTGTACATTTGTCTGGTGTGAATATCCTCTGAAGCCAGTTTGTTTTAAAGGCTGTTGGCTGTTACTGATAATACTACAATATCTGTTAAAGTGGACACTGGCTGAGAGCTTGGCCTATGACTCAGAAATGACATGTTGCACAGCCCCGGCCTCATAATTGACCTCTTGTCACGTCATCAGTGCCCACTTCAGAGGATGCCCCCTATAGGAGATGTTGTGGACGTGCTGCCCAAAGTGAAGGCCTTGGCTCTGGCGGACCGTGCCATGTTTGACAGAGGGATGAGGGCCTTTGTCTCGTACGTCCAGGCTTACGCTAAACATGAATGTAGCCTCATCTTCAGAATCAAAGGTCAGAAAAATCCTCTGACATCTTGGATTCAACTCTTTAGTATGTGTAAGTCCAAATATAATAATTAGTGTTTCTTTCTTTGTCTAGATCTGGACTTTGCCTCCTTAGCCCGTGGCTTCGCCCTCCTTCGCCTGCCAAAGATGCCTGAACTGAAGGGGAAAAGGTTTCCTGACTTCACGGAGACGACGGTGGACACCAACACCATCCGCTACAAGGACAAGCACAGGGAGAAGCAGAGACAGAAGATGCTGGCTGAGCTGAAAGACAAGACTTCGTTTCCCAAAAAGAACTTCATAAAGAACAAGGCCTGGTCCAAACAGAAGAACAAGAAGGAGCGCAAGAAAAAGAGGGCGGCCAAGAGGAAGTGTGATGAGGTATTTCATTTCAACTACCGTTAAATGCACTGATAAAACCAAATGCTTCAATGGACTAGATTCATTTATAGCTGCTGTTTGATTTTCTCTGTGTTCACAGGGCTCCGACGTGGACGAGGAAGACATGAAAGAGCTTTTAAATGACACTCGCCTCCTCAAGAAGCTAAAGAAAGGCAAAATCAGCGAGGAGGACTTTGAAAAACAGATAACAAGCGGACAAAAGTCAAAACCGAGAACTGAAGGAGCGTCTCACATCAGCTCAGATGAACAGGACGTTTGACACAGCAGCTGTATTTAACTTTGTTCACACAAACAGTTCAATTAAATTTCAAAGTACCCCTCAGACATAAGTTTACCTTTTGATAATGGTTTTTATTTGATAACTGAGTTATAAATAAAGCTTGATGAGTTCGTCGCTCACAGCAGACGGGGTGAGGACTCCAAGGTCAGTGAAGAGGAGGGTGATGAGGGAGGGAGGGGTGTAATCAATTATCGGATGCTCCTCCGACAGGTTCTGTACAGTCTTCAGGGTATCGGCTTTGTACTGAGGAGGAAACGGGATGTAAAAGACATTTAGGAACAACTAAAGTTCACCACAAGTAGGAACAAAATAATGCACAACAAGCAAAGAGTAAATGGAAGACATCAGCCAGATCAAAAGGTTTTAGTCAGGATTTAAAATCCGCTAGGGTTGGAGTGGAGGGGCAGCATAGGGATGAAACGGTCTGACATCGTACCTTAAACTTATCTGGCACGTCCCGTTGGTTGAGTGGATAGAGACGCACAAACTTGAAACTCTCAGCAACAACATAGAAGGGCTTGTTGTGAGCTTTGGAGCACACGGCCATCTGGTACGTGCCGATCTGCAAGAGCACAGGCCAAACACTGAGGTTTGTGTTTACATCACATTGGTCTGATACATATGGCCTGTAACACAAAGCAACATGAGTGGGTCGTCCAGCCATCTTTGGACTTAACTCAGGTTCTGGTTTCACCAGTCAGCTCAATTTAAACTTTGATCGCTGTGCAGCTAAACTGCTCCAGAGCAGCTGAACCTTAGACGGTCAGATCAAAACCTGCCAACAGCTCAAAGAAATACATCTGTACAACCATGTGCCCAAACGGATCTTAGTCTCCGCTTGCATCATAGGCCTTAATGTTCAGTTCTGATGTTTCCGCCTGGTCTTTTTGTGTTGATGCTTCATGTGTGTAGAACAAACAGTTAACACAGCCGGTTGATGACCAGCCTTGTATAACTGGTTATCCAGTTATCAGCAGTGTTAATGAAACCAGATAAGAGAGCTGCATTCCACGGCACAGGGCTCTGACTATTTACTGAAACACACCTTGTTGATGATCCCTCCGCTCTCCACCACGCCCTCTGCACCGACAATGACCAAGTCCACTTTCTCCAAGACATACCTGTGAAAAATGACAGAACAACACTGTAAATGTAACCGAGTTTGTGCTGAGAATGTATGACACTGATAATAAAGGTTTGTATTTACCCCACAGCTGCATCCAAGACAACAGTCACTGGAACATTGAGTTTTCTCAGGGCTTCTGCCATCTGTCGCCTGACGAAAGAAAGAAAAAGAACCATCTCATTCACTGAGTGTGTGTCCCTTCAGAATAAAACAATTTGGCGACACTGTTCACCGACCCAGCTGAGTCAGGTTGCGACTCCGTCACATAGACAGAGAAGCGTTTCTTGTCGCCTGCAGCTTTTTCCAGCACCCGGAGGACGACTCTGGAGTAGGAGTGAGTCAGGATTTTCTGTCAGACACAAGGGACAAATGAGCCACTGATGTGGCGACATGAATGTACAAAGATCAGAAAATAAGATGTTTAGAAAACACTGCTTACAGCGCCATCTTTGATGAAGGTGTGACACAGCTTGGCAACCTTGGATCTGGACATTGAAATTTTCTTTAGAAAAAATTCTCCTCTCTCCTCCATCACCTTCTTACAGCGAGACAAGTCCTGATGGTAACAAAAGTCAAAGGTTGGAAGCACACACATTAAAACTCACTGGTTCACTGATCATCCAGAAGCCAGAAACTCCAGCGTGGGGCCAGTGTAGGAAACACACAGCAACAGAAACAGACAACCGTGACAGACTGAGACACCTCAGCCATTAAAAACTACTGAAGTCATCAGTCCAAACTCTGAAGCGTGATCCCACTCACCTACGAAACTGCCACGAGCCACCAACCAAACACTGTACAGTTTTTTGAGTAAGTAAATTAAAAAAACTAAACAAAACACCACATTTTATTTATTTATCTGTTCAATTACTGTAAGTTTCATGCCTGACATGATCTAAATGTCTGATAACCTGCTCATCGCTGCCAGGATGAGAATATTAAACACTATTTTATTCACTTGTTTTTATGCCTAAAAACATTTTTATATCTATCATTGCGATCTTTATGGACAGAGAAAAACAGTTACAGACACACAGGAAGTATTGGGTCTGAAGCAAGAGTCCCAACAGTCTCGGCTGTTGGAGATACAGACTGACACACTGTCCACGTGTATGACTGCATCCCAGGCAGAAACTCACCTGGTGCTCCAGAGACGTGAGGCTTATGAAGCGCAGGAAGAGCTCTCCTCCTGAGGACACGGCTACGGAGGAGTCCTCCTCCATCAGGCAGCCTGTGGCCCACTTCAGGCTCTCCCTCAGGCCCAGGATAGTTTCACCTGAAGGGGTAGGAAGAGCCTGTCAGACTGGGCTCAGACCAGTGTGCAGCTGGTTCACAACAACCACAGGAGCTAGAGACATCACAGATAGGGTGGACTCAGGTAAAGTGGGACCGTTTTTGGCAGAGCTCTTCTAGTGCTGGTGGAACAGTGTCCTCATAAGCCTGCACACTGATTACATTTCTGTGATAGAGAGAAATCAGCTGTTGGTCGAGATGGAACATTTAGACTTATGCTCCAGTTACTGACTCTGAATTGTTTAACAATGCCTGATATAATAACACAAAAACATTCCTTCTTTATTTTACTGCTTTCCCAAAACTTATTTGTGGGATATTCTGGAGGATGCAAATCATCATGGCCCTGCAGGTATACCCAATAACGAGTCGGTTTTAGCTGAATGGGCGTTTCCCCAGCATTCACCTGCAGGGCTGACAGTGACGGTATGTTGACCCGACTACCCCACAACATGCTACACCTCCCAGTGGCCGATTTAAAGATGCACATGCAGGCGCCACACTGAGGACTCCTGGGTGACACTTCACCAGTCAGTACATCCGATTACTGTGCAGCAGCTGTGCAGTGGTGACACAAGAAAATTGTTGTGACTGGCTACCAGCACTCACACAGTAAACGGTCCCACTCAACCCGACCCAGCCTGTATGAATGAAGGTGCTGGGAGTGAACACACCGTTATCTCTCTTGAGGAAAGCGAGCAGAGTCCGGATCGCAGCCACAGCTGAGGCCATGTCCGGGTCTTTCCTCATCTGATGCCTGAAGTACTCCACCAGCTCTGCCCCGGGACAACGTCAATAAACGGTTAATATCTGCGCTACTAACCACAGATCATGTGAAATAAAGTTTATTTAAAAAACTAACCACAAATTATGACAGGAAATAGGTTTGAAACAACTCACCTTTATTATCCATCCTGAAACCCACAGTAGAGCCTAACGGTGCCGTTTTTAGATCCAAACTAACCTGTGAATGACACTCAGTTGAGTTTTGCTGTATTCACTGGGTCCACGGTATTTTGACACATACCAGCAGAGCTGTTGACACCGCGTCACAAATCTAATTACTTGCAAAATTCAAAATAAACGTTTAAAAAGCTTATAAAGGTCTTTCTGTCACACCTATCGGAATACCACAGGAAAAGAAACACACCAAATGCTGTCTAAAAAGTTTTGTTGTCACTATTAGCCAGGTTGTACGACGTTAGCTCATCCTGCGACGCTTTGCCCGTTGATGTGTCGCACAGAGATGACGATTGACGCTGCCCACAACGACGTGACATAAGCTTTATTGAAACAATGAGCCAACAGAACAAACCAGAACAAAGCCAGGGAACACAAAGACAGCATTAAATTATATGTGATAAAGGAAAACAACGAAATACAGTTGATAAATAGAAAATAGAATTCAATAGTATACATTTTACATAACCGTAATATTTTAATAGCTTTGGCTTTTTTCCAGAATGTAATACTTTGTATGCATCTTTTAATATCGTTTATGAATGCAGTCGTCAGAGGGTTGCTGTTCATAAATTAACATTTTGGAATATAATATTCCATAATTATAAACATAAAGTTTATTATAAAATATTTATTGTTGTCATTCTTGTAACCAAAACTTATTCTTTAAAGGAGAAAGAAAACTGAGAACTTTACTCTGGATGATTTCAGTGTAGTTACAGGACCAAAAGTGCACGACAGACGACAGAACAAACACTATATGTGTTAGACGCGACATATGAGAGGCTGCAGTGCAGTCACTTTTCTCACTTGCTGTCAGTTCTTTGTGGGTAGTTTGTCTCTTTGCAGTTGTTTATGTGCAGCCATTTTGTCTTTTGTAGTATTTTTATATCCACCTGTGGTTGTTTCTTTGTTTGGGTTTCCAGTTTTGAATCACTCTGTGGTCAATTTGTTTTTTATTTTTTGGTCTGACTGTGATTGTTTTGTCTAAAGTTGAATCTTTATAGTGTTTGTGTGTCTGTATCTCAGTCTTTTTGCATCTCTCTCCAGTCGCTCTGCATCTATTTGTAGTCATTTTGTCTCTTTGTAGTCGTTTCCTGCCCTGTGGTCATTCTCTCTATTAGTATTTGTCTTGTTTTGTAATTTGTCTCTTTGTGTTTGTTTTGCATCTATAATTGTTTAGACCTTCTGTAGTCACGCTGTGTATCTCTCTAGTCATTCTGCATTTATTTCTGTCTATTTGTTGTTTTGTGTCTCACTTTCCAACAGTCATTTCTGTGCCCAAGCAGCAGTCCGTCCGTCCACGGTAAACCTGGGGCTGTTGTGGCCCCTGGGTGTGCGGGGCTGGTTGCGCAGCCTCGGCGCTGACTTGACTCCCCCTCCGAGGAGACTGTTCGCAGGCTCTTTGTTCTCCCACTCTCGCAGCAGGGAGACCCATCTCTCTTCACAGTGCAGCTGCAGCCGGGCCCCCTCCTCTCTGTGCCATCAGGCCGCGCAGGCGCACTGGCTCCTCTGTGCGCTCTACTGTTTGCATTGTGTCTGAACTGCCGGCGAGCTTTAAAAATATTATACCCACCGCGGCAATGTCGGGCAGGTCGGTCCGAGCCGAGACCCGGAGCAGGGCGAAAGATGACATCAAGAGGGTTATGGCCGCTATTGAGAAAGTACGGAAATGGTAAGAGAACAAAAGAAACCAGCAGGTTATCTAACACGAGAAAGGCTTGCTTGTTGGGGGAGGAGAGGGAAGGAGCGAGACGGAGTGAGGGATGAAACTGAAAGATATTCATTTGTGAACGGGATTCACGGCAGTCGGGTCCCCCGGGGCGCACTGGTGCGGTGCGGCAGCCCCGCCGTCGTCTGGCCGCTGTGGCGGACACACAACATGCGCCCGGTGTTTTTTCTCTCCCCGATTTTAACGGCAAGGGCTGAACCCAGAAGCCATTTCGATGCAGTCACATGAAGCCATTGCTGCCCGCTGCCGAGCTCGTAGCGCGGGCGGCGGCGGTTTTAGCCCCGAAACGTCCAATAACTCTGGACCGGGGAACAATTTGACGACGGCGCTCTTGAGTCGGAGGAGTTTAGTCCGTGTGGAGTTTTAAATTGAGCGCTTTGAGTCGCCCTTTAGGTCGGATAGAGAATAAGGCACAGTGGGGGTGGGGAGAGGGAAGTAGGCTGTAGTGCATGGCTGAACACGTAGTGACTCAGTCTTCACGTTTAACACGAGAAAAAACACATTTTACACACATTATAGGCTCAGACACACGCGGGACTCTTTGGAAAATATCATGTCTTTGAGGTTAGGGTTGTAGCCCCGCCCGGCGGCAGCAGCTATGTGCTATTTTTTTTATCAGGTGGTTTAATCAAACATCCCCAGGTCAAAGTCAGTATCAGTTAAAAACTCCAGTTTTTACCTGATAAAACTAAACTAAACCATGTGAAAATGATTCAGGATAAACGTGGAACACGGGAACTGAAATGTAATCTGTCCATACTTTGTTTTTATGACCTTTTTCTGACAAATGTAGTCTTTAGTGTTTAGCTGTGTGCTGCCAACAGAGACTGGTTCCCCTGAGCTGATCTCCCAGTTAACCCAGTGGTCGAGCCGCAGGAATTATTCAGAAACCATTTCACTAACTGATTATTGAAGTCACTTTGTTAAAGCAGAAAGGAAATGGTGCCACCGTACAGGTGTTGTGACCCCCGCCTGGCTGGAAACCACCACAGGATCCGGGTGCAGGTCATCATTAGTGCGACTCTTCTAAGTGAAATGAAATGATGTCAAGCTGAGGCTGAAAGTCAGTCTGTTGAAACGACACAGTACAAAACAAAGGCTTCTTTCACTGTTCACATCAGCTGCTCGGACACACTGGACGTGGATATCTGGTTTTCTGTCCTGCACAGGGAGAAGAAGTGGGTGACGGTGGGAGACACGTCCCTTCGCATCTACAAGTGGGTGCCAGTGATGGAGCCCAAATCAGATGATGTGAGTGACACTGGCCACAATTAGTTTGACTCTGGTGTCAGTGGCTCCTCATGTGCACGGATGTGATGTGTGGACAAGAAAACCAAACTAAAGCTGAAACTGACTTGATTAATTGACAGAACAAGAACTGGCAGCCATTTTGATAATAGCTGTAATAATTTCAGACACGATCTGCTGCTTTTTCTGTTTTAAACCATTGTAAATTGAATCTTTTGGTGAGTTTTAGGCCGTAGCTGTGACAACTTTGTTCTTTTACGAGATCAGTTCATCAATGACAGTAATCAGTTGCAGACCTAAAACAAAGAGAAGCACATGTAAACATATGGCTGTAGTGTAGGGCCAAGAAGGTGGAAACAGTTACTTTAACATGTAGTAAGTACTTCACATATGTACCCACGTCTGAGTACTGTATGTACAGGCTGCACCGACTCACATGTGATAAAGGATATGTACGTGTTACTGTGTGGGCGTGCACCTTACCGTTTTAAGCCACATCATTTCGAGGGAACAGTAGCTGCTCGTCCATTTTTGTTTGTGCCACATCACTTAACTGTATTTTAATGGAGCGATTGTTTTTGACCGTTTTTCTCTGTTGTTTTTAGAAAAACAAGAACAAGAAGAAGGGCAAAGATGAGAAATATGGCTCCGAGGTGACGACTCCAGAGAACAGCTCCTCTCCAGGGATGATGGACATGCACGGTGGGTAGTGAACTGACGGCCTTAGTCCGTCTCTGTCCGTCACAGATCTATAGTTCCAGAAAAAAGGGGCTTGGTAGTTTCCCAAAGCAGCTGCTCACTGTAGTTTTTATCTGTTTGGGACTATTTTCAGTGGCGGATGAATCCACATTTGATCTCTAGTGAGTATTTGTGGCAGCAATATAAGCAACCATAAGAACAATATGGAAGATTTTTTAGACACCTACGGGTAAAGGAATTCCTCAGGGACTCCTTCTAGAAGACACAGCAACGAGCCCAGTCATTGTCCCGAGTCCCTGTTTTCTTTTTGTCTAAAACAAACGTTGAACTGTCTTAAATGACTCAACCCGTCTCTTTTACTAGATGACAACAGCAACCAGAGCTCGATCGCCGATTCATCCCCAGTGAAACAGGAAAACAGTTGTAGCACCAGCCCCGCCCCGGAGCCCGCCGCCATGTCTCACCGGGAGAACAGTGAGGTCAAGACGGAGCAGAGCCCGGACAGCAAGAGGGGTCAGACACTCACACACACCCGCATCCTTACTGACGAGTTCATCCACCACCTCACTGCTTCTGGTTCTGAGCCGGTGCATGGAGGATCAGATGGACCAGAGCCACGCCCTGGTTGTTTCACCCTCTGTAACAGCCGCACAAACAGCATCAAACTGAGATCATTAAAGCTCTGCTGTTAAAATACTTGGTGTACACAGACGGGACACAGTGCGGCCGAGGACACGCTGGTCTCTCGAGGTTTCAGATTAACAGAGTCAGATTAATGTTTCAACCACAACACGTCTAGTTTGTTTTTCTGAAGAGGAATAACTAATAAACTCAGGCCAGAGACTCTGTAGCTAGTGTTCTCTCACAGTAAAACAAATCTGACCAGCTGTCTCTGTCCTTATAGTTTACCAAATAGAAACTGAGTCACTTAATCAAGACTGACAGAAAAATAACTGGCAATTCTGACAAATGAGCAAATGTTTAGATGACATGAGACCAGGTGTAAAGCTCCGTCTCACATGACAGTGACTCAAGATTTTTATTTGCCATTTATTAACATAGACAGTTTAGTCATATAGGAATTATTGTGCAGCTCTCTTGGAGTCAGGTAAAGAGTCAAAAGCCAGAAAAGGACACCTAGTCTGCAAATAAAGTTATGTAAGAGTAACAGTATAAAAAACACAATACAAACAAATAAGCTAATAGATAATGGATGAGATGTGAACATGGTGGGGTTGGATATGGTATTTCACTTAGCGAAGGGTTAAGGTTTCTCACATTTCTGTATTTGCCATCAGTCGTACTGCAGCAGGTGTGAACTGAATATCTGTTGGACTGTTGGTCAGACAGAAGATGTCAACAAATCATTGATAATCAACAACATATGACCTGATACTTGATATGATTTAGTTGTGTCCTTAACACCAGCTGCTTGTATGAAGGCACATATCAGAGTTAACAGTTCCTCAGCAGAATTTGTTCTCAAATGAAGGCACTGGTAGTAAATGTCTTCACTGTGAGAAGAGGAGCACGCTCCTGAATGAGGCCGTAAACATCGACTCTGACAAAAAGCCGTCCCAGTAACAGAGCGATGAAGCCAGCTTGGTTCTGCGGTTGAAACTCACTTAACCGTCTGGTCGATAGCATGTCAGAGAGCGGTGACCCTGCGCCTGTCACATGTTTGTTATGAAGAAAACCATCAACTGTTGACACTGAGAGCACGAAACATTCTGGGGCATTTTTACATAAAAAGTAATGAAAGTGATTAAGTGATGTTCACACACCCAGACGCCATCAACTGCAGTTACTGTGCACGGCCACATGGTGTCATTAAAGTGTCAGAAAACAGTGCAACACAACCCACAGCCCTCCTCTCTGCTGCTGCTGCTGCTGATGTGATACAACACTCTTCCCTTCTCGTCCTCAGACACCTCAGAGCGAGCACAAAGTGCCAAGAGAGACGGCCTGTCGTCGGGGGACAAGGACTCCTCAGACAGCAAAGCCACTCAGGTGCGTGCACACCCGTCTACACACCACACTCACACATGATCATTGTGGATTAACAGTTGGTAAATAACCAGCCAACCGCTCCGACTTCAGTGTCGACAGCGGGCTGAGCTGCAGGCGGCCGCTCACGCAGGAACGTCATGGGTTTACAACAGCAAGCGTCACACGTGGACTCATGTCTCCTCTTCTTCCTCTGCTGTAGGACCTGGAGGACGAGGCCCCGCCCAGCAAGAAAAGCAAACTGGAGTCCTCATCTCAGGACTTTGAGGAAAGTTAAATGTTTGAGTCCTTCCTCCTCCCCTCTCGTGAACCTCCCCTCCCCCCTCCCCCGTACTCCTCTCCATTAACTCTAGATAATATAGGGCTAATGGACACACCGGCTCCACCCACAACTCCTCTTACTGCCCCACCTCCCCTTTTCTACCCAAACTTGTCAGTACCAAAGGGAGAATGGACGTCTCCCCCTCCCTCCCCCGACACAGAGGGACGATGGATATTACCTCGATTCACTGGTCCCCTCCGTGCTTCCTTCCGGTTCTCCACACTTTCCACTGAAGCCAAGAGAAGCTCTCGACCCAGGCTGCACCTCCCCACCCACCCCACCCCCTCTGTGACCAGGGGCCCAGCCACCACCAGGCCAGACCACGAACCCTGACCTGCACCTGTGACTAAAAGAGTTAACACTGGGGATCTGAGACCAGGCCAAGGTTGGTCCCGGGCGCTGCTCTAACGCCACCTTTTAAACGTTTTCCTGTTAACGGTTTAGCTCGGGATCCTGAAGAAGCTAACGTGGTCTCAGATCAGCGGCTGCACGGGGAACCTCCACCCTAAGACCACGTCACTTCAATCCTCCCGATTCGCCTCCTGTTAGACTAATGTTCTCTGTTTGTTTAGGAAATGTTTAGGGTTTATTTCTCAGGAGGGTCAATGCACTGTTATGGTATGTCACAATCGATCACAGATAGATTTGCTGCTGTAGTGGACGTCTTTTTTCTCGATCCATGAAAAGTTCTCCATTTACGTGTTTTTCAAAGTCAGTTAGTTTGTGGTTCAGAGAGGAAGAAGACGACGACGGTACTGGTTGACGTAGACTCGTGGATAAGTAGTGATAGATTAGTTCTGAAGGTGTGCCTTGAGTCGCTGCGACTAAATACACGGCTAGGTCAAACAGGTTTCAATTACAATTTTGGTGCCATGTTGTTTTATTTTTTAGTTTCTGGCCAAAAACCTTCACTAATTTTATCCACCATCAGTTTGATTTCACTTCAAGGAATAGTCCAACATTTTGGGAAATACCTGTTTCATTGCTGAAGTAAAAGAAAAAACAGGTTGATCTCACCTTTGTACATCAAACAGCCAGGTAGCTTAGCTTAGCACAAAGACTGTAAACGGGGGGAACAGTTAGCCTGGCTCTGTCCAAAGGTAGAAACGTTCGACCACCAGCTTTAAAAGCTCACTGATGAACATGTGTGATCTTATTTAAGTAAAAGAATAAAAAGCTGCAGGTGGATTTAGGATAAGGATAATCACCTTTATTGGCCAAGTATGTCACACACAAGGAATTTGTTTCCGGTACAGAACCAATGGCAGCCATCTGTGGTGCCAACTCAACCGATGGCTCTAACCATTGGGGGGGTTCAGTGTCTTGCCCAAGGACACTTCGACATGTGGACTGCAGGCACTGAGATTCAAACCTTCAACCTTCTGGTTGGGAGACGACTGCTCTACCCACTGCACCACTGTCGCCCCCCCCCCACCCAATTTAGCTCATGAACATGTTATATCCTGTTTAATCTCTATTCAAGTCTAAACATGAGTAATTGTGGCTTTACATGCGGTTATGTCCTGATGATTTCAAACCAGATCTAACATGTTCATCTGCACTCTGCTGAGCTGTGGCAGTTTCGTTTGGCCTGTGGACAGAACCCCCCCCTTCCAGTCTTTATGCCAAGCTAACAGACACCTGCTTGATACTCGCAGCCGTATTTCCCAGATGTGCAGACTACTCCTTTAAA